TGTAAGAAGAATGATGATTGTAAATGATACTGGCTATTTTCACAGATGAATATTGGATCATTGTTTACATTTATTTATATTTTAAATTTTCTTTATTTTAGAGCCATCCTAATTATTGCCATCAAAATATAAAATGTTATTCAGTGCAAGCCTGTATTTATCATATATTAGCTGAATAAAAATAATATATATATATATATATTATACAATTATAATTTTAACATTTAAAAACATTAATGCAGCAAAGCCTATCCAAAACCCCAATAAAATCTAGGCCTCAATCTAGGCCTAGCGCATGTATAAACAACGTGTAAAATTGCGCGTATGAGCCCGTGGAGTTGTCAAGAACGCCTAGTAAAGCCAAAATATTTGCTGTTTTCAATCGAAATTTTTTAAAAATCGGAAGAAGTTGTCAGACCAATATTACACAGAATACAAGAACAGACACTGATTGTTCATTGGCGACCAACAATAACATCCAGAAAATGTGCACAATTTTGTAAAACGACGATAATTACGACTATGTTTAGCGATATTAACATTTACGGAGTTAGGGCGTTGTTTGTTTACATTTTTACTGTAGACCGGCCTTACTTTTCTCGTTAAAATTCATGATTTTTTTATAAATTCATGCATTGCACAAATTTTGTTTAGTAGCTGATATAATAATTAGACAAACAGAACACGAATGGGGGGATATATTATACTCATATATTATTTTTAGCACAATTCTACTATGTACAAAAAATGCAGTTCCGCTAGGCTCGCACGATCCCAATCGCGACATGAGTGTGTTCGTTCGAGGCTTGCGGTGCGTAAATATATGAAAGGCGCGTTGAAAACACTTATTGTCCCAATATAGTGCGTATGAAACCGCCGTGAAATGGTTACAGGTTAGGCTTGTTACTTTCGACTGGGCCAAGCAACAGAATATTATTATTTTCTCTGTCATAGTAAGTGGTTTTGATTGGCCTTCTTGTGCATAGTTTCTTAATTATTGTTGATGATGATAGCACCTTGTTAGCGGCATTTCATATTTTATGAATATAAGTATTTGACAATAAAGTTGCTTTTATTTTATCTTATTTGTATACAGGCCGCCCTCTAATTAAAGACCACTTGGTCCCAAACTAACAAATATTTATTATTCTAATTAGAGACCAAAGACAATAAAAAAAAACCAGTTCCGGAAGTGGACTTTAATTGAACGGAGACCTGTATTCAAAATTAATGTGTTAATTAATGTCATATTTAAAATCTTTGTTAGATACTCTGACTTAATGGTTCACCGTATGCTTGCCGTCTGCATCAAAGCTGACAGGTCGTATCCGGACCTCCTCCAGAAGGATAAGATACAGGCCATCTGCAACAACCTCAACTATCGGCACCGCATGGCACAGTATGCTGGTAGGTCGTCAGTTGGCCTCCATACACAGGTAAGAAACACAAGAGCTAAGACTACAGCAACTTAAGAATGGGACATGCCTTATTATGGTCATGATGACATCACATCAAGACAAAAAGAAGCATGTCATGATTATATATGGGCATACAACAATTCTCTTATCAAATAAAATTTGATAGTGTAGAGAGTAGCTTTAGACTGTTACATAGCAATCTGCTTCTGCAGATTAAAACGGCTTAAATTGGATATGTCATTTTTATTGACTTTTTGAATTTTGCTCTTCAAGATATTCTTCAAGAACAAGAGAGAGGATGAAGAAGGTTATGTGATGTTTGTCCGGAAAAATGCTCTGCAGATTTTCATCCCAAAGTACGGCTTAGAAGGAACTCTATTTTTGAAACCAGAAGACAAATCTGCTGCAAGTTTGTTTACTTTCAATGAAGAGGTAATGCTGAGTAAACACTCTCAAATTATGTCAGACTTTTGTCTGATAGTATACAATATGCATGTTTCAAACATGATCAAACAATTCCTGTATTATTCTATTAAGAATATGCTGTGCTTCCTCAAGCAATGTATTATCAAACATTTTTGTTGTCAGACTTCAGACACGGACAAACAACACTTTCAGGGTTTTATTTATCACATAGTATTAGTCGTCGTTTTGTTACTATGAAAAATGTAAAGTTTATTTTATGTTTGTATTTATTTACTCCTTTCACCATCTCCTCTGTTTTATTTATGCTTCAGAAAACTCCCATTTAATGTTCATACACAATATTAATAGCGCATTGTCAGTATTTGTTTGTGTTAAAATAACTTTTATGATGGTTTCAGGATCAAACTCAGAGTGCTGGTGACATCTGTCTGCATATGTTTGATCCTGTAACAGTTCAGCTGAGCATCAATGATACGGATGTCCAGCATCAAAGATTAATGCTACGTTTGGTGAAACCTCAGGTACGTAAAGAGATGATGATAATGGTGGTGATGATAATAATGGTGATGGTGTTAGTTGTAGTGTTGATGGTGGTGATGATGGTGATTGTCTACTGCCAAAGATATTCTAACAAGAGTTCCAGGGACTCCTAACCAACAACCTCAGCCTCACTAGTGTTGGGGCTGAGATAAACATTTTTAAGGATAGTAACCTAGGATAGGCCGCTAAATTTCAGTGACAAGATTAAAACAAAAAAATAATAGCTTTTAATTTCTCTTCAGATTGCAGATTTTAGCGTTCCGCCAGCCACAGCAGCTGATGATAGTAGTGAGCCCCCAACAAAGAAAATGAAGGCATCGCCAAGCTAGCGTAATTTCAATAACACCAAATGTGATTGACCAGATTCGAGATGTCACGCTAACACTGGTTCAGACCCACAAGGTCTTGGCATGATGCTTGTATTTTAAGACTTGCTTGACAGACCAAAGAGCTTATGCATACATTGCAAAACAAAATCTGTGTATTAGTGCGATTAATACATTTTCTGAAATCTTTTGTCTGTCAATTTCTTAAACCTGGCATGTCTGTTATTTTGTACAAGTGAAATATTAAATTTTTAAAACGTGAAAACAGGAGTATTGCTTACAATACTGTACATGCAAACCACCACTTTCAATGTGTTTTACTGCAGCTGAACCTACTTTTATTTTGGTTTGGTTGCTTTTAACACCACCAGTGAAGGAAAGTGGCACTGCAGAAGTGATATATTGTGCCCAGAGTAGAGTAGAGTAGGATGTATGATAAATTGTTGGGCCTAGATGTAGGCAAAGCCGTATATTTTCTGAGAGGGGCTAAGCTGTCCAAGTGAGCTGCATGTCATCCGAGGGCCGTATGCCCAAACGAGATTTTTTTTTTTTTTTTTTTTTTTAAGGGGAAATTGCACTCTCCAAGACTGAGACTACCATTTCTCGCCATCTGTTGGCGCCGCCACTGAGGTCGAGTGGGACTAACTCTTAGGCCTTGATGCAACCCTAATGCGACAATGGTCCTACAGTGTATGTATGCCCTGAGTAATAAGTGTTGGGCCTAAGTGTAGGCCTGATGTGATGAAATTGTTTTTTTATGGAGCATTGGATGTACTGTATTCAGATGTGGTAGTGACGTTTTTGTGTAAAATGGAATGTGCATTCATTTGACACGCATGCCAAGTACAGTGTGTTGATAGATGACCAATGGCTGATAGCACCTTGTCAGATTAATTTTTACCTAGTTTCTGCAGTATCAGGAGCCTATTTTTAGATATGCCATCTAAACTGGTTTTGGGGAAGTCTTTGTGTTTTAGGTTTTACTATGGATGGCCTGACGAAAGATATTTTAACTGTGCCATCAGGATTATTTGTTGCCTTTATAATTACAAACTTATTTCATATAATTTTGACTCTTGGTGTGTATATGACAATTTGACACACTGCAATAAAACAATGGTTAAATAACAGCCATTCCATGAGCATTTCAAAATATACTTTAATGTATTTTACAGTACAAGCATGCAACCAATAATGTTGTATTTTATAGATTTTAATAAATTTGCATAAATACAAAATCAAAAGCAAATTTTCTATGTGTTTACAACACTACTACCAAAGATCTTATAACAAGACAATAGCACTCTCCGCGGTTTTACGTGAAATTAAAAAAAATAAAAAATAGGAAAAAAAACTATAGAATCGCCCATTCACACAGAAAGTAATTGCAATAGAGAGAGGGCGTCCTATTTCTTACCATGGTTGTTGCGCAAAGATTTTCACCAAGATCATAGATGTCAAAGTTGAAAAGTAATTGTAATTGCTAGAGGGCACCTTACACAAATAATTTGCAAGCAGAAATCACGGAGAATGCTATCTTGTTATTATAGGATCTTTGACTACTACCAACCACCCTTAACTACCAATACAATTGCTAGCATGGGTAAAGTCTGAAGAACAAGGCATCTGTATGTACATTAACCCTTATGGCCATACAACACCCTAGACACATGTATCCCCACCCCATTGCCATAAAATGTATTAATATCTATGTATTTATAATTACGAAAAACAAAATATCTTTGTGTGTGCATGAACAAAGTACACAAATCTCAACCAGAGCCTTGCAGGCGTCAACGTTCCTATGCATGATACACGACTTTTAGAAGTATTTATACGTGTATATATATTTATATATGCGTATATATATACATATACTTATATATATATTTATATATATATACACATATATATTTATATATATACACTTATATATATTTATATATATACACATATATATATACAGTATATACATATACGTATATATATATACATATGTATATATATATATGTTTATGTGTGTGTATATATACTTATATATAAGTGTACATTATATATAAGTATATAAGAATATAAAGCTATGTGTTTTCTTTGTGACAAGAAAGCCTAAAATACTGTGGTGTTTCAATGGCCAGTTTTTTAGCCCTGCACTCTATGCATTCCACCACATCCCCAGAAGTAGGCATATCCAGGCCTGGGGAAAAAATGGTTGTGCCTCTGACAATGAAAATTTTCTGAATGAAATGCCTGCAGCATTACACTGTACACTGTATAGCCCAAAAGTTTATTCTGGACATTCATGTTGCTTCCATCCGCCGGTCGCACTTTTTTTTGTATCAATCTATTTTAATTTTGTAGATCTTCACTGTATCGTCAGGGGCAGATCCAGGATTTAAAAGAGAGGGGTTCAAAATGTTTTCCAAAAAACCCCAAAATGAAATGGAGGTACTGGGGTCCTCTCCTGGAGAAATTTTGATTCCTAGATGGCCGGAAATGAGCTTTCCCGACTTCTGTGGAGTCTTTTAATGACCTTTTAAGTTCTTCAAAAATTGAAGTTTTCCCCCCTCTTGAGAAAAGGTCAGGTAAATTTATCTCATTCTTTAGGCCTATCATAGAGGGAAAAAAAAAATCAAGGACAGGCAATATTATTATATTCCAACAACATTGAGTAGTTGGGTGTGTAGTCTTTCTGAATCGATGAACCGATAGGCCTGAAGAACAAACTTTCGTACATAAATTATTATTTATTTAATAGAAAACTAGATGGGCTAAGCCTAGTAATTGTCTGATCTTCCAACCTGCGCCTACGTAGGTTAGCTTGCCTTTTGTAAGCCAGGACCCAGTTGTATTTTGTTACATTTCTTCACACGGGGGAGGGGGGGTTCGTTTGAACCCCCTGGATCCGTCACTGATCGTGTCATAATCTTATAGCTTTCAATATCAGTTTCTGCTGCATATTTTTGCACCAGGCTAAGTGTTGTGTGCTTGAAACAACCTTTAAAATTATAATGATTACATACATTTACGATAAAATCCAAACATGATTGTCAAGGAATATTTTTCGGCTAACAGTTTTATAAAGGTGACCATTATTAAACCATCTGCGATAACCTTGCTATTGATTAACCAATAAGACTTAATCTTCTATAGGTAAGTGAAAGCAACAGTAAATATAGTGACAGAAATGGAGAAAGCCATCACCAAAAATATTTACATTTTAAAGAAACATGGACTTCTAAATATATTTATTAAAACACCCAAAATGGGTTATAATTTTACATTAAGCACAATGTGACTGTCTACATAATAGAATAAACATTACTCATTACATAATTATCTTTTAATATGTTTTGTGGTGTTGCACCATGCCCCTTTTTTGTATAGAAACATATGAAATATTTTTATATGAAATACATTTTCTTACACTTAAAAATAATAAGAAAAAATTATAGCCACAAAGAACTCTAAAATGGGAAGTTTTTTATAAGGGGGGGGGAGCATTCTTTCACAAAACTGTTTGACATTAACATGCAGCTATTAGTATTAGCACAACAAAATAATAATTATGTCTGCTTTATTCATATACAGTACTTCTTGTGATCATCATATCAATAATTTAATCTGCATGTGAGTTTTGCAAACCTCAACTGCCATGTTGTTTTATCAATGGCCTAAATAATTAAAAAGCTTTTACAAAATTTTCTAAATATTGGTTTATGCTCTGTCCCGATCATCAAAATTTTCAAAAACACTGTTGTATGCCCATATATAGTCATGAGATTTCATCATGACCATATTTAGGAATGTCCCATGTTTTGATAATCAGGACAGGGCCTGGGAAAAGAGTCTAATTAATAGAGGTACCAGAATTTGATAGCTGGGTACCCGCTTCTTTCATATTCTTTCCGAGCACGCAAATACATTACTGCACCTCTTATAGCAATTATAATACCTGCCAAAAAAAAAAAAAAAAAAATTTTGTAAATTGGCAAACTAATAAAAAATATTTATTTAATTTAATAATTTTTTTAAAATAGATAGTTTTAAATCATTATACTATCTTCCCTTTACAGACAAGAAAGCGGCTTTTTCTTTACTAAAAAAGGATTCCCTTACTGGCGTATCTAGAAGTCTTGAAATGGGGGTGCTGATAGGGAGCGCAAAGGTGAAGTGGGGGGACCTTAATGATCAGTTGAGGGGCGCTAATTCGCAAAATAAGGTGATTTTGGGTGATTTTTAACTACTTGACCATGATTTTTTTTGGGGGGGGGGGGAACGAGTCATTTTTGGAGGGGCGTGTGCACCCTCCTAGATACGCTACTGGATTCCCTGTGCATCATATTACTTACCACAAAATATAAGCGCCATCGACAAACACATTGTACTTGCAAGGTAGGCTCTGCAGCAGTCCGAATACTACAAAAAAAAAACAGTACTCCTATAATACACCTTCTCTTTTCAGATAATTCTCATTATACAGTTCTCTGCATTATTTATTATACATTATACATTGTGACATGCTGTCGTTTCCCACAACAGTATTACATTTAATATAATTTAAATAAACGAAAACAAAATGAGATGCATCGATGGTGAAATCATATTGAGATATTCACCATGTGGACATGTAACAGTTTTTTGTCAAAGAAAATGTGATGGTTTAGATAGAGATTAACAGAAAAATGTTCAATTCAATGTGAAGGATATAGTTTTGGTTTCTGTTTACAAAGCTCATTACCATTACAGTAATCTATTTTTGCACAATTGACATTTGACCTACCAATGCCACTATTGTCCACTTGACCATGGAAATACCGAAGCCACAGAGAGCACCACAACGTGCGGCTACCGAAGAACTCAGACAATATGCTACTAGGAACCCTATCCAACTGAAGGCGATAGATACTGGAAATGAGAAAACAAATGTCAGGTCTATTTAATAATTCATACAGTATTAACAAAATTGCCAGTGGAGAATGTTCATGGAATGCCAAAGACGAAAAGCTTAATATAAAGATTATATTATTGTCATGCAAATGTGAATACTGTACATGTTTACGTAGATGTTTAAATAAGGTAAAGAAACACATAAAGAAGTAAAATTAATAACTTTATGGCAGTATAAAAATGTTTCTCATTTTATATCTACTAAAGATCAAACCCCTAAGGAGTACAGAAGTTCTGTTGTCTATCATTTTAAATGCCCAGGCTGTAATAGTGATTATATTGGTATAAAGACAGATAGGTGCTTAATAACTAGACTTAAAGAACATTCTTCACGATCTGATAGTGTTATATTTGATCATGTTCAAAACTGTGAGGCATTCCAATATGTTTTAGGATTACAGGGTATACTTGAAAATGATAATGTCGTCTGTAATGTAAGTAATAAATTAGGTTTAATATTTTATAGTAGTAATATTATTGACAGCTCCTGAAACTGGTCTATCCTATTGTTTAAAAAAGTGTTTGCTATAAGTAGACTACACCCTTTGCTTAATAATGGCCTCAGAGCTTCAAAGGAGCTTTCTTTGTTTTTGTAGGCATCTTTTATCAGTAGAGTAAGAATGCTTTGATCTTTTGTTTAAATCACTGCTATGTCACCTACTAGAGGTAATGTTTTCATTGGTTAAACACTTTTGGTACTAGTGCATATAAGCT